TATGGCATGCATCACCTTGACAGCATCCTCTTTCAAGATTTTAAACAGTTCAGCTGAGATCCCATCGTCTCCTGCTGCTTTGTTATTAGCAATGCTTCTTAAAGGCCTATTCAACCTCTCTCCTCAGGATGTCTGGTTCTAATTCACTCACCACACCATCAAAACTATCCTCGATATTATTATATGAAGGTTTAGAGAGCAATTTATCAAGTTTGCAGACGACACCAGTTTGGGAGGGACAGCTAATACCCCAGAGGACAGGATCATAATTCAAAATGACCATAAGAGATTAGAGAGCTGAACGGCCTAAATGAAGAAATGTAGGATGCTACACTTAGGCTGAAAAAATGAAATGCACAGATATGGTATGGATGATACCTGGCTTGACAATAGCCCATGTGAGAGGGATCTTGGAGTCTTAGTGGACCACAAGTTGAGCATGAGCCAATAACATGATGCAGCAACTAATGCAATTCTAGGCCACATCAATAGGATTATAGTGCTGAGATTAAATGAAGTAATAGTGCCCCTTTTATTCTGACACCACCACCCTTTGTCCAATTGCCAGTACTGTTCTTTCCAAACAGGGTTGGTGCCAAGGATCAGCAGAGGGGAGCATCTGCCACTGTAGAACTGATGTTGTCGGACACACTATAATCACCATGGCTGAATACTATGGAATCCTGGCAGCTGTTTGATGATGCACCAGCACTTTTTGATAGAGAAGACCTTGTAAAACTATGAGTCCCAAGATAATAATAATAGTAATAACAGTCATAATAATACTTTATTTATAATCCGCTTTATCTCCCTGGGGGGACTCAGGGCAGTCCCCTAACATTGAGCCATGACACTACAAGTGGTTTTAAATGACATTAATTCTATAGTGTAGATGCACCTAAAAAAAAAGAGAAGCAATGAATGGCAGTAATGGCAGTAAAGCAGTAAACCCAATGAAGGAACTGGTAACACCAGTCTTGGGTGCAATTGATTTGTGATTGAACATCCCTGCAAATGTTTTGGCCCTGTTAAGAGCCAAAAAATACATTTCCTTAGAGACTCAAAGAGGTGAAAAAGGCAGAGAGGGGTTCGTGTCAGGATTTCCAGTCACAAAGTCAACCAATTCCAGCTCTTTCCCAGAAAGGCTAAAAGTCATGGCCCACCCCACTGTGCTCTCTTCCTCCACTTCCTTAATCAAAATCAAGTAAACCGGACTCAAAGGTTATGAATGTCATGCCATTTGTCATGAGCAAGAAGAGAGGACACATTCCAGCAATTAGAAAAGAACAACAAGTAGCCAAATTAACTTTGTAAGAAAGCACACAATCATCCAATTACATGAAGACTACACGAGAAATGTTAGAAGATCATCTTGTGTAGGAAAGCCATATCCTCTGGAAAGCACATTGACTGTGAATTTCCAAGGAACTGAATTTAAATGGAAGGAAAGTTGAGTCAGTAGTTTTTTTAAAACCCTCAGAATCTATTTTTGTTTGTACAGTATTTCTTGGATGGATAGATGCATAGATGGATGGATGGACTGATAGATAGACAGACAGATAGGTTGCCAAGGCATTCCAGGCAGTTTGCACTTTTAAAATGCTGACTCCTCGTCTAAAGTCATCTTCTAATTGGGTTGTTGTAGGTTTTTCGGGCTATACATCAAGGGAACCACTGACCGCATAGGGAAGCTGATGAGGAAACACAATATACAAACTATCTACAGACCCACTAAGAAACCCCAACAAATGCTACATTGAGCAAAGGACAAGAGGGATCCTCTCACCTCTGCAGGAGTCTACTGTATACCATGCAGCTATGGACAAGTCTACATACAGACCACCAAATGCAGCATTGCAAGGAACATGAAAGGCACTGCAGACTACTTCAACCAAAGAAGTCAGCCATAGCAGAGCACCTGATAAACCAACCTGGACACAGCATATTATTTGAGAACACAGAAATGCTGGACCATTCTAACAACTACCATGTCAGGCTACACAGAGAAGCCACTGAAATCCACAAGCATGTGGACATTTTCAACAGAAAGGAAGGAACCATGAAAATGAACAAAATCTGGCTACCAGTATTAAAAAAAAACCTCTAAAATTAAAACAGTAAATAAAGAACAGCACTCAAACAGGGGGTAACTCCAGACAAGAAACATTCGGGGACAGATAATCACCTCTCAACAAAGGAATTCCCCCAGGCAGCAACAAGCCATGCCTAAAATCTTTCAGATCATCAAATGCTAATCAAGGTGGCCAACTGAAACATTCATACCTAACTCCAAAAGACAAGAGTTCTTTCTATCCTGGACATTCCATACATATATAAACCCCATTTTCCTAGTTTCTAACAGACCTCACAACCTCTGAGGATGCCTGCCATAGATGTGGGTGAAATGTCAGGAGAGAACATTTCTGAAACATAGCCTGAAAAATCTACAACCTAGTGTTCCGGCCATGAAAGCCTTTGACAATACTTCTTCTAATTCTCATATATTTCTTTTAAATGCACAAAGGGGGGGGGGGGTTGGGGGGGCAGGCTTACAAGTATGGCTTAATGGTGTCAGTCAAGTGATCCATCTGTTCTGGGGTTTAGTTTGAACTGTAAAAAAAACTATCAAAACAACTATCTTGGGCAGCTCCTTTAAATTTCTGAATATATTGTGCAGCCGATTCACTCCCTGAATGTGTTGATATATCAGAAAATAAACTTTGCAGATGGACAGCAGTTATTGGGACCAGCCCAAAAGCCCACATTGTATGCAAGCTTTTGAGCTCTTCAGAACTCTTCAACAGGCCAGGCGAAGAAGACAAATGAGAACTGAAGGAAGGCACAGAAAAAAATCCAAAATGTGACATGATGTCAAAGCCCTTACAAGTTACCATGAGAAAAAATATTGAGTCTTTTATTAGTCCTTCCCCACTATATTTACAAAATGTGGGTGTCACATCCCTTATCTGCTGAATGTGAGTTCTAATGAACTTGCCAGACCTTCTCCCCTTTTCAGGCACTTCTTTCTGCTGAGACAATAAACCCATTAAAAGCCATTTCAAACAAGGAGAGAAGGTAAATTTCAAGGCCTGGCAAAAATCAGAGCTGTCTATTTTGGAGCAAATAATAGACATGTTCTAATATTTTCCCTGTCCAGTGAAGAGCCATTAATGATCAACTGACAATGCCTCTTGGCTACCTTTGAAGCCATCACCAATCTTGTTGACACCCCTTTGCAAAATGATGGGGAGAACACTTGGAGGTTAAAAGAGAAATGTAAAGGGGGGGGGACATCCATCGGCATGTCCAGCTGCAAATCCCTCAAGAAAAGGGGTAACAGAAAGAAATGTCTTCTTTAAAAGAAGGCCTAGCTTGCACATGCTACACGATGATGCAGAAATGTGGCAAGTGAATCACAAGAGAGGACTATACTGCTTCAGACTGTAGGTAAAGGATCACATTTGCTAATGTTCCTTTTCCTTCAGGGTGAGAATAATGTCCCACGAAACAGGTTGCTACACTGCAACTCTCATCATTCCTCAGCATTGACTACAGAAGCTAAAGCTGTTGAGAGCCACAGTTCAACAATATCTGGAGGGCTATATGACTCTCACCCTTGCTTTGCAGTAAAATATCTCCTTGCAAACAGGAAATTAAGATGACAGAGAAGATGTTGGGTTAGTTACTTCCAAAAGTTTTGTTTCCTTACAGCATATTGCGGCGTGTGGAGGGAAAAGGATGACATGAAAACCATATCCCCCAATTTGTAAATTAAAAGGCTACCACTTACAGAATAACAACAGCAACCACAACCACAACCAAAATACTTTATTTGTATTCCACCCTATCTCCCTAAGGGGGCTCAGGGCAGATTCCAACATATACAGAGACACAAGGCAAACATTCAATGCCTTGAAAAAATGAAACACAGACACATAACTAAAAGTAAAGGCTTGCCCTTCATCCCCAACTCTGGGATGAAGAGCAATAATAATAATAATAATAATAATAATAATAATAATAATAATAATAATGTAAAGGTAAAGGTAAAGGTTTCCCCTGACATTAAGTCTAGTTGTGTCCGACTCTGGGGAGTGATGCTTATCTCCATTTCTAAGCTGAAGAACCTGTGCCGTCTGTAGAGACCTCCTGGTCATGTGGCCAGCATGACTGCATGGAGCCCCATTCGCTTTCCCACTGAGGCAGTACCTATTGATCTACTCACATTTGCATGTTTTCAAACTGCTAAGTTGGCAGAAGCTGGGGCTAACAGCAGGAGCTCACCCCATCCCACAGATGTGAAACGCCAACCTTCCGGTCAGCAAGTTCAGCAGCTCAACAATTGAATCCCTTGTGCCACCGTGGCCCCAGTATTGTAATGGAAGCCAGTGGCATGTTTGAAAAACCACTCTGAGGATTCTGTTCTAGATTTCATTCTAGATTTTAAAGGAGTTTAGGGGGTAGGACAGTACCTAAAAGTCTAGAATAAAATTCAGTGTGGGCTGACCATTTTATTGGAAGCAGCTTTATTGAAAGCAGTTATCCAACAAAATCTAGAAGGCCACATTTCCCCTAACCTTGCTTTAAACCTAGACAGAATGATTCCCCTCTCTTGTTTCTCAGTGGTCCTAGGTTGCCTCCACTGTTTATTGGAATCCACCACCTAAATGTACACATTAAAAGAGGATCCATCTCTAAAGAACTGGTGGTGTCAGTAGGATGGGGAATCAGCCCTAAGTTTTCTCCTGAACAGTAAAGGAGCTCTCCAAGGTACTGAACCAAACTTCAAAACTTTGATAGCTCCTGTAAAATTAGAAATAGAAAGCTATGATCACTCAACACCCCACTGACATAGGAGCCACTGACTACAACTAGCTACCCAGAGGAAGACCATCTTTCTCACATTCTCACTGGGACCATTTCAGTGGTGGCTACTCATGAACTGCTAGACTGCAATACATTGGGGCCAACAAGGCCATGCTGAGGTTCATCAACCTTACCTTTATGACGTCTTCATCTGCTGATTTGCATTCAGCCGATCCGGACACATCTTGTACTGATCCGTCCTCTTCAACAGCAACCACTTTTACTGGGACAGACACCGGCTTCCCTGTCAGAATGGCTGTGTTGAGGACTTCTGTGTCCTGCAGAAGGGCACAACATAAAAAAACAGAGCACTATTAAGTAGGGCTGGGCGGTTTCGTTTCGTTAATTCGTAATTCGTTAAAAATTCGTTATTTTTTTGTTAACGAAGCGATAATGAACCATTCTGGAGCAACCTAAAAACGAAACGAATTTTTCAATTCGTTTCGTAAATGCTTCGTATTTCGTTATGTATTCGTTTCGTTATTGGTTTGAGGTCGTTTCGTTATTATTTCCGCATGTCTGGGGCAAGTTTTATAGTTGTTTTTTGTTTAATTAGTGAAAAAAAATTATAATATCACACCAACAGTCAACAACAGAGGGAGAGGGAAGCTTCAGAAGTTTTTTTAGCGTATTGCGCGATCGCGGCCGCCATTAACGAATCGATTCGTTATTGTTTCGTTATTGTTTTATAATTTTTTTACCATTTACGAAATTTCGTAAATATCGAACTTTTTTTAAGGAAAATTTCGGAATTCTTTTAAATATTGAAACGCAAAAAACCCCAAAAAACGAATCGATTTTAGAAACAAATTTTTCCGTTGTTACCCAGGCCTACTATTAAGTCAACACAGCATCTGGAAGAGCTATGGAGTTACTGTCACAGATTAGTCAAGACTGTCCTTTATTTTCTCAAGTACTGTCAGACTACAAATTCCCATAAAGTAGTGTTTCTCAACCTGGGAGTCTGGACCCCTGGCCTGGGGGAGGTCGCGAAGGGGATGTCAGAGGGGTTGTCAAAGACCATCAGAAACCACAGTATTTTCTGTTAGTCATTGGGGTTCCGTGTGAGAAAAATGGCCCAATTCTATTATTGGTGTGATTCAGAATGTTCTTTGATTGTAGGTAAACTATAAATCCCAGCAACTACAACTCCCAAATGTCAAGGTCTGTTTTCCCCAAACTCCACCAGTGTTCACATTTGGCCATATTGATTATTCATGCGAAGTTTGGTCCAGATCCATCATTGTTTGAGTCCACAGTGCTCTCTGGATGTAGGTGAACTACAACTCCAAACTCAAGGTCAATGCCCACCAAACCTTCCAATATTTTATGTTGGTCATGAGAGTTCTGTGTGCCAAGTTTGGTTCAATTCCCTTATTGGTGGAGTTCGGAATGCTCTTTGATTGTAGGTGAACTATAAATCCCAGCAACTACAACTCCCAAATGACAAAATCAGCCACCTCCCCCCCCACACACACACACACACACACGCACATACACAATGCAACCAGTATTCTAATTTGGCCATATCAGGTATTTGTGTCAAATTTGGTCCAGTGAATGAAAATACATCCTGCATATCAGATATTTACATTACGATTCATAACAGTAGCAAAAATACAGTTATGAAGTAGCAATGAAAATAATTTTATGGTTGGGGGTCACCACAACATGAGGAATTGTATTAAGGAATCGTGGCATTAGGAAGGTTGAGAACCACTGACCTAGGCATAGCTTGGACAGGAAGGGTAAAATTGCCACATCACTGCAATAAAAGGGTTGAGCATTAGCCAAAACCATCCCAGTTTTGAGAGAAAGTTCTCCTATTGGTTCTGAAGTAGCTCATGAGCATTAGGAAGATTGAGAACCACTGCCATAAAGCCATGCAAAAGAAAGCCTTTAATGCACATCAGTGCCTGGTGATTTGTATCATCACCTTCCAAGCCCCAAACTGGTCCAGGGTTTCCTATGTAATCACCTGCATAGCTAAACCACTTTCTTCAATACCAGTTTGAAACTGTATTAAATCAGTGTAGATGGGGCCTCAGAAACCCAGAGATTAAAGCTTTGCTTTGAACAACTAAGCAATGTGTTGCATTACTCAAAGTTGCAGGTGCCACTTTAGCTATTATCACTAACTCTGTGTGGTCCAGGTTGGTGGCTCAGTCTGCGATGTGTCCTGTCAAGTACATATAAATTATCATGAACCATAGACGACGGGGCCATCAAGCTACCATCCATATACTTTTTTCCTGCCTCAGGCCATTACACTGTCATGTTCATGTAGCTTTAGAATTGATCCCACCTCAGTGCCAGCAAGCGATCCTCTTCTTTGATTGTGATGTTTCCCTAAGCAGTTAGCACTCTAAAATGATATCCTTCTCCACAGGCATAATGGCCTGGTGAGCAAATTCTTCATTTTCTCTGTCAAATCTCTGTGATATCAATGAAGCTGGAATATGCCATGCTAATTTTAAGAAATCCATTTCTTCCATCAATAAACTCCACCTGGAGATATTCCAGAGGCCACTGAGCCTTCTATATCTGTTCCTCCATATACTATGAGATATAGCACACTAATGAGTCCATTAAGACAGAACTCATTTGCAAATCACCATGGATGCTATTTGAATAATTGCTCACTAATACTTGCTATGTCTCTTCCGAAGGGTAGCCGAGGATGTGGCAGAATCTTCTTCTCTGGATGTTTTTTTAAAACCGATGCTGGATGGCCCTCTTTCATGAGTGTTTTGATTATATCTTCCTGCCCAGCATTCATAGGGTTTCCCTAAGTTCAATCTGACTTAGTGGCAATAATAATAATAACAACAATAACAACAACAACAACAACAACAATAAAATAATTGGAGGTTTCATTCATAGGGTTGCCCAAAGTTCAAGTTAACTTCGTGGCAATCACAATAAAATAATAATAATAGCAGAGGCATGACACCGTTGCTAAGATGATTCATTGGAACCTGTGCCACAAATACCATCCGCCTGTGACAAAGAACTGGTGGGATCACAGGCTGGAAAGGGTTACAGAAAATGTACAAATTCAGACAGACAGAGTTTTGGAGCACAATACTCCTGACCTCACAATTGTGTTAAAAAACAAGATATGGATTGTCGAAATTGCAATCCCAGGTGACAGCAGGATTGAAGAGAAAAAAACTGGAAAAGCTGACATGATGTGAGGATTTAAAGATTGAACTGCAAAGACTCTGGCACAAGCCAGTCAAGGTGGTCCCAGTGGGGATCGGCACACTGGTGCAGTACCTAAAGACCTTGGCCTGCACTTAACACAATTGGCGCTGACAAAATTACCATCTGCCAGCTGCAGAAGGTCACCTTACTGGGATCTGCATGCATTATTCGCTGATACATCACACTGACCTAGACACTTGGAAAGTGTCCGACGTGTGATCCAATACAACCACCAGCAGAGTAATCTTGTCTGCTATGGACTCATCTTGTTGTGTTTCAAATAATAATAATAATAATAATAATTAATAATAATAATAATAATAATAATAATAATAATAATAATGGTTGGAGGTTTCATTCATAGGACATGATGGCTCTTGAGGTCTCTTCCAACTCTATGATGGTGTGGTTCTAATATCTAAGACCCTTTTGAGGGAAATGTAACCCTTCAGACATTGTTTAATTGCAAATCCCATCATTCTTCACCCAACTGCATGCAAATGACTACTTATTTGTAACTCCTGGATTAGGACAGAACAGTCTGTTAAAAGCAATTCTGAGAACACGGTACAGAAAACCAAGATAGATGTTCCACACTTGCAACATCAGCCGTCTAAGGACCTTATCACACTTATACCCCATCTCTGATGCTCTTTGCCTGCTGGTGGTTATGGGTCCAATCGCATCACGCAAGGTCCATTTCATTGGTAAGTCCAACCAATACCAATGGAAGTCCAACCAATGGAAAACTATCAGTTTTACTTATCTTCTAATATCTGTGTGAATGTCTGAAGTGCATTTTTGGGTGTGTGCAATGGCACACTTGTCTGCAGCTCACCCTCTGTGCCTGTGACATGCCTTTCATGGCATGTTTTGGGGATGGTCTTTTAATCCCACTTGATATTTATTTATTTATTTACAACATTTATATGCTGAACTTCTCACCCCGAAGGGGACTCAGAGCAGCTTACAAGATATCTATATATAAAAATGCTCTGTGCATAATGAGTACCTTAAAAACAAAAGAACCAATGAACAAAATAGCACCAAATTTGGCAACAAAATGTCTCACATCACAAGGAGTGACATCACTCAAAAAATTATGATTTTGTCATTTGGGAGTTGTAGTTGTTGGGATTTATAGTTCACCTATAATAAAAGAGCATTCTGAACTCCACCAACAATGGAATTGAACCAAACTTGGCACACAGGACTCCTCTGACCAACAGGAAACACTAGAAGGGTTTGGTGGGCATTGACCTTGTGTTTGGGAGTTGTAGTTCACCTACATCTAGAGAGCACTGTGGACTCAAACAATGATGGATCTGGACCAAACTTGGCATGAATACTCAATATGCCCAAATATGAGCACAGATGGAGTTTGGGGAAAATGGACCTTGACATTTGTGAGTTGTAGTTACTGGGATTTATAGTTCACCTACAATCAGAGCATTCTGAACCCCACCAATGACGGAATGGGGGCAAACTTCCCACACAGAACTCCCATGACTATTAGAAAATACTTAAGGCCATCCAGTCCTGCTCCCTTCACCAGGGAAAGAAAACGTAATCAAAGCCCTCCTGACAAAGAGCCATCTAGTCATAGATATAGATAGATAGATAGATAGATAGATAGATAGATAGATAGATAGATAGATAGATAGATAGATAGACAGATAGATAGATCACACACACAGAGATATAGTGCCATAGATCTGAAAGGGACCCCTAAAGAAGGACAATGATATGTTGCATGTTCCAGGGTGGGCAAACCAGACACTCTCTACATCAACACTGACAAAGAAACAGCAAGAAATACTGTTTACTCACAAGCATAAAGAAATTACATATTTTAGAACAACACTTTCTCATTACTTTATTTTCCAGATCAACAGACACACACACACACACACAATATTATTAGCATAGCACCATATCAGTATTATATGTTACTATATTGCACTATACCATTATACTGTAATATTATTAGTAATATTACATGTAATATAAAATATATAATTATAATATCATATTATTAGTATTATTATATTGTACTACATTATAATATTAT